TCTGTTGATCATACCGTTACGCTGAGCAGATTTATTAAGGTAACTCTGTCAGATTGTTTGAAATGAGATACTCCAAAAATAACATTTACGTGTATAATATTTTATTGTGTGAATGTGCAATTGAAAATGAGTATGCAGGAAAAAAATTAAAAATAATAATTGTCAAGCAAGCGCTACATTTAGTAACATAATTTCAAAGTCGTTATCATTCTGTTCAAAATTATGAAGAAATAATATTGTTTTGGATTTGTAATAAGTTATCATATGAATTTTCAGTAGAATTTCAGAGAGACATTTTTTGTCAAAAGAATTTGATCGGCATTATTATTTTCTTTTATATGAAAAACATATTCCTCAGTTGTTTTTAGGGACACTGTCCGCAACTTGTCTCTAGTTGGGATGGAAATACCCTATTTATTCGAGAATTGAGTCGAGGACGGAAAATCTGGTCTGACACTGATTCTTATTTTTATGCATTTAAATATAAATCGTATTGAACTAATATGAATATAACATACAAATAAATAAACAAGTAAATTGGACAACAGATCAGAAGAGTGCGATATTGTTAATCCACGTGTCATAGTATTCTAAAAATCGTGATGCATGGAAATTTCGGGCTATACTCGCCTAGGCCTAAAAAACGTAAAAAAAATATTTTTAATTTTAATATTATTTTAATTTTTTAATAAATCTTACTTAATAATGTATATAAATTATAGTACCGAATGCAATTTAAAGAGCTTAACAAAATAAATATATTCAATAAATAAGATATAGTATAATAGTTTTAATTGAAATATTTGAAAAGTTTTAGATTTTTATTAATTAGCAAAAAGTAGAAAAACGATTAATTTAATAAAATATAAATAATTATTTATATAATAGTACAATACACTACATTCAACCCAAATGTACAACACACTACAGTTAAACCAAATAAATTCTTATCCCAAAAAGAAAATTGATAACAAAATATTTGGAAATGTCCTCTATGAATAAGTGAGTCAATAAATGGGAAAGCAACTCTTTGTAACTTTCAATCAAATTGGTTAAAAATTAAAAAATTGAAAATTTATAATTATTAAACGTGTTTAAGAATTGAAACAATTGAAAAAAAAATAAAAAGTAAAAAAAAATTAATTTCAACATTGATTTTTATTTTCCTAATTTCTTTAATTTCAGATCGGAATATTGGATCAGATATCCGATAACATAACAAATCAGATATGAATTTAACAATTAAATATCTATTGGATTATCAGATTGGATATAGACATATACGATCAATTTACAGTCATATCCACATGTCACTGTGATATGTCACATATCAATGTCCAAGAGTCACTAATTAATTTAATTGGTCACAAATCTATTAAAATTTCTCATAGATCAATGTCCTTAGGGTCCTAGGATGTAACAATATGTCCAAGTGATAAGTTATATGTCACAAATTCAATTAACCAGATTCCGATAGTAAGAATTGAAATTATTTGCTCCGATGAGTACTCTATAAATTATACAATGGACTGTTTTTCAATTTCCAATTTTAAAAAATAGATTTAAATTACATAAATACTGCTTAGTCGCCTATGAAGAAGATGATCAGTCGTCGACGATCAATTCGCTGCTGAAGAAGTCATTTACGATTTTTGTAGATTTTATCTTCCCTTTGATGAAATTATATGGATGTCGGCGAAGGGTGAATATCGACAAGTTAGTGTGCACAAGTGGAGTGGGTTGGGTAGATTAATTCATTTTAAAGACATTATTATTTAAAAATAAAATATTGAATTAACACCTCACTTACGGAAGTTTAAACACAATCTCTGTGAATTAAACTGGTGTATACTTATTCCGTAGAGATTAAAATCATATTTTTAGTAAATTTTAATAAAAATAAATTAAATATGTGATTGAAAAATCGTGAATCCTTGCTTGAAACATGTGTGATTAAAATTAATCTTCAACTTTGAAATTATGAATTTTTCCCAAACCATATTCCAAGA